TGAGAAAATTTAAAGCACAACCAGTTAAGAATCCTACTGTTATATGCAGGAAAATATTTTAAAAAGAACATTTCCCACTCTCAGTCTGTTTTTCAATATCTCCATTTTTTGTATAATAATAGTGAAATAGAACTTGGTTCACTATGAACCCTGAGTCAGTCCTATTTTAGACCTGAAATGTATGCGTCAGTTTATGAAGCCTGGTCATAGAAAGTCCACATTTTTCATATTATAGGCTGTTATGGGTATGGTAACACTGCTTATATGTAAATAAACTTCAGTCCCCGTGGAGGAATGCCATGCCAAGTCAAACAATCTGAGGAAAACGGATTATAGCCTATTCAAATGGATTTAAGACTTCCTTGCTGAGTCATATTGTTATAGATTGTTTTCTGTTAATAAGTAATGGATAAAAGTAAAGCCATCCACAACTACTGGACCTTGTAAACTGGTAATGATATGATCATGATTGGTAGTGTTTGGTATGCTGATGCCTTATGACTTCCCTTCACTGGAACTAAGGGGCCAACCCCTGAAAAACTTTCCCACACCATAATCCCCCTCCACCAAACTTTACACTTGGCACAATGCAGTCAGGCAAGTACTGTTCTCCTGGCAACTTGCCAAACCCAGTCACGTCCATCGGATTGCCAGACAGAGAAGCGTGATTCGCAACTCCAGAGAACACGTCTCCACTTCTCTAGAGTCCAGTGGCGGCGTGCTTTACACCACTGCATCCGACGCTTTGCATTGCACTTGGTGATGTAAGGCTTAGATGCAGCTGCTTGGTCATGGAAACCCATTCCATGAAGCTCTCTACACACTTTTACACTTTTGTTGTGCCAGTCTGAAGGCCACACAAAGTTTGGAGGTCTGTAGCTATTGACTCTGCAGACAGTTGGCGACTTCTGCGCACTGTGCACTTCAGCATGCGCTGATCCCGCTCTGTCATTTTACGTGGCCTACCACTTTGTGGCTGAGTTGCTGTTGTTCCCAGTTGTTTCCACTTTGTTATAATACCACTAACAGGTGACCGTGGAATATTTAGTAGCAAAGAAATTTCACGGATGGACTCATTGCACAGGTGGCAACCTATCACGGTACTACACTTGAATTCACTGAGCTCCTGAGAGCGACCCATTATTTCACAAATGTTTGTAGAAGCAGTCTGCATGCCTAAGCGCTTGATTTTATACACCTGTGGCCATGGAGGTGATTGGAACACCTGAATCCAATGATTTGGAGGGTGTCCCAATACCTTTGGCAATATAGTGTATCTGCAACCAGACACAGCCATTGGCAGAGTACTTGCTACTTGATAACATCCATTAATGATCTTATTATTTTACGTAGTTTGCTGTGCTCAAATACCTATGTACTTGGTTGTATATATTGTCTAAGGACTTTAGTGAATTTTCAAAGAACAATGAAAGAAAGCCTAATTTTCCCTCTATAATCTGTCAGATGTTTCCTTACTTGCTCTGGAAAGTAAAAAAGGAATAAAAATTAAGATCAGCAAAAAGGTTTCAGCTCAAAAATTCACAACAATGTGCTTTAACTCTGGCCAGACGATTAAGAGGCTTTTTTTGTTTTGTTCATGTGTTATTCAAGTGTTTTATGCGTGACTTGTAGAACAGGAGCATGTTTTTGGCCCTATAGACTTTAAATGGGAGCGCTTAAAATACATGTGTAAACCTGCATTTATCAGGCACTCCCAAAATGGTATATGAGGCCAAAATGATTCTGCCCCAAAGAAGCTCACATACATTTTCAAGCTTCACATGACAACCGACATAATGCTCATATGTGAACTGGGGCCATTGAAAACAATGGGATTCCCCTTGATTAGCCTAAGGTCTTCACCCAAGGGTCTCTAGGATTAAGCCCATTGGGGTGAAGCGCATCAGTGATGGGTGGTTTCTGGGAGTATGTCAGCTCCTATATTGAAAAAAAAGGTTTAAAAGGTAATGTTAGTGGTGTGCGGCATTTTCTTTGTGCTTTGATGTCCTCTTGTGGAGTGTCGTAGTGCTTAGGGAAAGGAGGTAACAACTCTTGTTACCTTTGCTACAATATTTCCTTTGGCTTGCTGTCGTAAGGTAAGTGTCATGGTAAATTATGGGTAGAAGTAGATGCTATATGTGGCACCCTTGTTGAGCACTCCTCATGCCTGTAACACTGCTGTTTCCAGCATTTCTCTTTGTCATGATTGTGACACACAAGTTTCAAAGGAACACATTTAGGAGGCACTGGGATTTCTTTGCTCACTCAAATCATCCAGATCCAGGAAAGTTTGTAAATATCTTCACTGGCACTAGCAAGGCAACTCCTAAACAAGTCAGGCCTTCTTTGCAGGGTAACCAGAATTGTCTCAATGTTCAGAAATTAAGAGTGCCACTGCCATTGCAAATGGGGATATAGTCCAAATGTGTCCTTTAATTGTTCATAATTCAATCAAACAAAAATCAGCCAATGCATTTTGGGGGCAACAACATTTCCCCTTCATCAGGGCTTAGGTTTTGATTGGACTCAAAATACTATACCAAATGGATCTCTATATACATATAAAATGATCTCCTCTAGGGCTGGAATTGGCAGCAGCACACAAATTGACAAACAAGTTGAAAGGTACATTTCCCTCTGTTGTGGCAGGATCTCAGATGTCTCATTCACAACATGTAAACTCTCAGCAGTCATATCTAGATGTTAGGGTTCATGCCTATAGGGCTTACACCATGTAAACTAGGCACCTGCATATGTGCTCCTGCTTTACCAGTTGTCACTTCCTGCTAGCGGATGTCCTATGAATTATTCCTTCTCTTCCCCCTCCAAATCCAACCCGTAATAGCTCCTCTATTGCTTTGGCAATGCTAAAATGTATTTAGTCCTGCCGATAAAGCTTATTTTAATTTGAAAAAAGAGAGAGAGAGCAGGAACCTTGTTTTGGGATAAAAAGAGACAATTCTGCAGAACATGAGGATCTAAGCCAACATCAAGTGCACAGGACTTGACACCTATGCACATGACCCCTTCTCGGGTCCTAAGTGTGTAAAGTATGTTGAGCTGTTTGTAGTAAGCATTGCTGCCAGTAGAGAGATCATTTCCTGCAAACGAAACACATGTTGAGCACAAAAGTAAAAAAAAAATCAAATCTTGAAAACAGGAAACTTAAATCCCGAGAGACAGTAACTTAGTCTTTCTAACTTCCTTAAGAGCAATGCAAGATGGTAACACTTAAAGTGTATCTAAACTCAAAAGCAAAATTTTTATATATTGCAGCTTATCACTCTTTAAATGTGAAGTCTGCATTTTATTTCACTTTATTTTCATCTTGTGATCCATCCGGTACGTCTTTTATTTTTCAACTTCCTTTAACAGACCAAGTTGTCCAGCTAAAGTGGCCGGTAGAGGGTTGAGACAAACCATTTTTTTTTAAATTCTTCATTGACTGAATGTGATACATAACACTTACATCTTGTTTTAAGGAGAAAAAAAATAAGACAAACTTAAGATCAGTGTACATATGTCATTCATAAAGTCACTTAAACAAGAATAGAAATCTGTGAACTGCTAATCTCCTAAATCTCTGCTAAAAATAAAAAAAACAGCCCATTGCAACCAGATACTGACAATGTTTCTCTGAAAGGCTGCAGCCTTCTTCATATGATTCTTTGTTATGTCTTTAGGCGATCCCGACTCATCTCTTTTGCGCACACTGTTTTTCAACCCCAGTGGTCACAGACGGGGTTGCAAGGGAGGTCCTCCTCGTCAACTCGGGCCCACACCATTACAGCTACCTCCTCATGTATCACTTGCCCCTCCCTTGGAATTGTAAGCCCTCACAGACAGGGCCCTCCTTACCATCTTGTTTTGAATTGCATTGTGATTGTAATGTCTTCCTTATATTGTAAAGCGCTGCGCAAACTGTTGGTGCTATATAAATCTTGTATAATAATAATATTGTTATTGTGGCCTGCTAAGGGCATTTGGTAAGTACCTTTTATTGCATTTGTATGAAGCATCTAGGATCAGGTTGAAGTCCACACCCAGGAGAAGCGCACCATCGGTGAAACCATCAAGTTTGCCCAAAAGTAAATCTGATTGGTATTGGTAATATACACATCTGCCTGGGTAAAGACTTGGGATTAAATACAACCTTTTACAATACCTCTGCCTTCAGCATCTCCTAAAATGCCAGGGAATTGATTTACTTTTCAAGATACTGGTTGCTCTCAATTTTAGAGTTCGGAGAGGTATTGTGGTAGACTGTAGGGAAACAATAGTTTGGCAGACCCTTGCAGTTGAGCTGCCCTTCGCACTGCAAGAGTTAAATGCTGGATTTGGTCTAGGGGTTACAAAAATGGTTATTCTCACCTGATCCTCAGTCCTGGTGATCAGCGCTCACTTCTCTCCCCCTCTACTCCAGCTGTGGGATGTCCCTCGGCATCCTCACAAGTTAATGGGTCTGTATTATACGTGATGACGTCAGTGGTCCTGAGCCTGGAGAAAAGAGGATGTGGGGACTGCCTGGTAACCCAAGCCACCAGGATCAGGTGAGTATATTTTCTTTATTTTAGCCCCAGACCAGACTGGCCCACTGCAGGGGGTTATTTTTTCAATTGCCTGGAGTCCTTCTTTAAAGAAGAAATTGTAGAATATGTGACAGCTCATTACTGTGACATCAACCACAACCAAAAGTAACCAGTGATGCATCACCAACATCCAAATGCAAAATCTGCAAAGAATGCAGCACAAAAACGGCAAGACGTCTTATGAAACCAGCAGAATTAGATATTATAAATGTGTGTAAATGACACATAAGTATCTCTCCTGACTCCATCAGACTGCGGGGAGGTGTACCCAGCTCTCATCATAAATATCGTGTGCTGATGCTGCCGTGAGAGAGCGCTGACTCAGGAGAAGACTTCCAGGAACTACTTTGTGTGTGTGCTTTGGCCCCGGCACGGGATCCCTCTACATATCCCTCCACAGATCCCTCCACCGGCATTTAAATACATAGTGAAGATGTACGCTGAGGTTTCCGCGGCTGGGGAGTGACAGAGGAGCGGGCTCGTAGTGTGGTGAGTGGTCCACTCCTGTCTATTGTATACTGCACCCCATATTCTCTATTGCTGGGATTCACTCACTGCAGTACTATTGGCATTAGAGCAAAGTTTTCCTAACTCCATCAACTCTAATACTTCCATCTCAGGACTTGTGTGTTCCTTTAAATGAGGAGTGCAGGCTCCCCCATTGACCCCTGAGTTTGCAGGCGTACCCCGTTCACCCCCGAATGCAAACTTCCTCCCCACCCCTGCCATTCACCCCTGAGAATGGATCCCCCCTTTCACCCCTGAGCATGGGCTCCCCCATTCTCCCCTTGGCTCAGACTCCCCCAGGGCAGAAGCTCACCCCTTGTGCCCTTTTTGTCACATTTACCAAAGCATGATAACACTCGGACTTATAGAATCCCAATATTTTTAGTTGGGAACGTTCACATTTGAGTGTTTTGTTGCATGTTTCATAACGCGTGACAAAGCTCCATATGAAGAACCCCATTATTTTCAGCGGTGCCCATTCACATCTGAGTGTTGTCACCTGTAGCTTGAGGCTCCAAAAAATACATGAGATTATTTTTGGGTAGAATTGATAAAACAAAATCACCTGCACTCCATGCGGCGTACAGACCTTAACAGAAGGTTGGTGTTTGAAGTGACAACACAGATGTCAAATACATGAGTCTCTATGTCGCCTGGAAGAAGGGACCCTGCGTTGCCCCCCGAAATGTTGGCTGTATGACGCATGTGACAATTTAAGAAAAAGTGCTTTACTTCTTGCACATATAGAGTGCTGGTGACTTCTATTATGGTCTTTTAGGGTAGAATCACACATTTTAGGCCCCATAGACTTCATTGTGAGTGCCTGAAAAACATGCATACTGTGTGATTTTGTGCCTAACAAGTCTCCTCCTCCTAGTAACTAGCCTGCCATTGGCTAAAATAAAACCGCTCAAGCCTGAAAAACACGCAAAAAAGCTTCAATTCTGACTTGGAAAAGCTCCTGCTTAAGTGTGAACGGGGGTCTATTCTCAAATGTTTTAAACCAAGATTCACACATTTTCCAACTGAATCCAATTAGAGAAAGTGTGTGACCCTTGAAAACATTTTATAACTAGACCCCCCCCCCCCCCCCTAGGCTTACAATATATGTTGTGTTATGGTACAATATGTACAATCTCTGTGTAATCGACTTTAGATCTACCAGTACCTTGTTATAGAAGGGCCAACCACTCTGTATCCAATCAGGCAGGCCCTTTATTACATGGTTGCTGGTAGATCTATAGGGGACTGTAGCATTTGCGGTGGTTTACAGCAAAGCCCTGACGCCACAATGGAGCTGACGATCAGGTTCCTTCTTTCATAGGCCTGGGTATGGTTGAAGTTTTATGTTTGTGGTACTGTTTGTTACTCCAGTTCTGTAAATCGGCCCCACATACATCTGAAATCATGTCAGTTGCATCTATGAGAACATCTAACCATACTTGGAGAGGAACACAACTTGTAATATTGTGAAAGGTTTCACTAACATTTGTGCCTTGAAACAGGTGAAATGATCTGTGTGTACAACGTGCTGCAACCTGTCTGTGCATGCAGGAACAATCGGAATCCCTTGTGCCTGGCAGGAAAAACTAGAATAGATTTTCTCTTTTCCTACAGGTGAGTGTCAACCTGTCCCAATGTATCGGAACAGGATAGACCATTGTAACGTATTTGTTGTGGGCTCTTCACATGTCACGGCTCTCTGCACTGTGATGCCAAACCTTGGCAGGTGTGGCAGCTGAGACATAAGTGTTACATTTGGTTCTATAATGTCATCACTATATTGTTACTGACAGAGTATCAGTGCCAGAAATGGGCGCATCTTGTCGTTGTGGTCACAGGCCTGGAGTAGAAAAGATTGGCTTGGCAGCTTGGATGGGTACCATTTGTTTTTTTTCTCTCCTTCTTTGCCATTGGCCATACTATGGATCTGCTTTAGGGACAGAAAAGGAGAAATGTGTACTTGCTGGCAAGATTTCACTTTTGCTCCAGTCCTGACCCTACACTGAAAATGTATGGGCTCGCTCACACTAGCCCAGGGGGAGGCAACCGTGGCTCTCCAGCTGTGCTGAAACTACAAATCCCATCATGCTTCTGGCTCTGGGAGTCATGCCTGTGGCTTGCAATGCCTTATGGGATTTGTAGTTTCAGCACAGCTGGAGAGCCAAGGTTGCCTACCCCTGCACTAGCCCATCTGCTAAAATGCCGCAGTGTGCGTTTTATTGCAACTGTCACTGAGCTCTCACTGTTTACATTTTATTTTTTAGGCCCCGTTCACACCAGATTTGTCCGCGCTGAACCGCCGACATGAATGATCCCATACATTGCTATGCGGACCGTTCATGCGACCGCCTGCCGCCCAAAATGCTCCCTGCACATTTTCTTTGCGCTGATTGGTTTCCATCCAACGAACCGCGCCATTCAATGGAACCGTGCGGTTCGGGGCCTTTAATGCAATTTAAAACGCCCTTTTAAAATTCACGCGGAAACAGCACTTAACCGCGTCCACCCTGGTGGGAATGGAGCCTAAAAAGAACTCCAGGCAGCCAATGCAGTGGGGCTTCCCCCTCACTGCAAGGGTTATGTGTTCCTTTTTGTTTAGGTGCAAAAAAAAAAAAGTTATGTTCACCCGGACCGCTGAGCTGGCTACCTGCTTCTCTGGTCACTGAAGTCTGTCTCCTTCTACACTGCAGCATTGGAATGTTCCTCAGTGTCCTCACATCTATACACAATGTATAGAAAGTGATGGCTTGGGAACCTTAGACAACTGCAGAGGAGGGGGAGAGAGGCTTCAGGGACTGGTCAAAGAGCAAGCCATCTCCAAGGATCAGGTGAGTATAACTTTTTTTCAACCAAGACAAAAATAAGCATTTAACCCTTGCAGAGCGGGGGTAGCCACATTGCAAGGGTACAAAAAGACTCTGGCCGGAGTTCTGCTTTAAACGTTGTGAGTCTACTATAGGTACACGCCATTCAGGTCCCCATACAGCAGCAACATGTTTGTATTTTTTTTATCACAGCACACCACCCATCACACCCATGTTGTGAATGGATGCAAAGAAAAAAATTATTTTGTATGTGTCCTTGCAGTCACCTGCGTTGATCTGGTGCAGTACAACGCAGGTTATCGCAGTGTGTGAATGAGCATTATTGAATTGTTCACACCATGTCTGTTGAGCTGAATTTTTCTGCACACCACCACACATGTAGGGCTCATGCCAGGGCAGCTCCGACCCCCCCCCAGCCCCACCGCCACCACGCTGAGCCAGTCACACTGTTATTATTATACATTTATATAGCTCTGATATATACCGCAATGCTGTACAAAGAATACTGAGCCAGTCACATCATTCCCTGTACAGAGGAGCTTACACTCTAATGCAGAATGCGACCGCTTGTAGGGGGACTACAAATCCCAGCAATACATTTATACAGCAATGCAGAACAGTATATGAATCGGACTCTGGGCTTAGTTACGTGCCGGACTCTGGTCTTAGTTGCGCGCCGGACACAGGACCCAGCTGAGACCCCACACACCCCACCTGAAAGTGACCCTGCAGAGCACACCATACATGCTGCACAGCCCATCTGAGACTCTCTATGGTGGGCTCTGCAAGGGTCTCAGGTGGGCTGGTTGGGGCTGCATCTCCCTCCCAGCTCCTCTTACCTGCTGCTGGTGCTGGTACCTGGCCTCCTCTGCCGCCGGACTGGCCTGAAGTGACGTGATGCCCCGCTACCTATGGCCACTCATCTGCGTCGCTGTCAGACTAGGGCAGTGATGGCGAATGTTTTTGAACCCGAGTGCCCAAACTGCGACCCAAAATCAATGTATTTATCTCAAAGTGCCAGCGCTGAAAATAACTTTAGTATTGCTTTGCAGTTCGGGCGTTCGGGTTTAAAAAATGTTCAGCAGCATCACCACCTCAGACAAAATAGGGAAACCCACAAATTCAAATATTTATACACTCATTAACTACTTGATGCCCGGAGCAATTTCTTACATTTGCACACATGATGATAAAATCTGAATTTTGGGGTAGAAAACAGCTTCGGACCCCCAAACAATTATATATTTTCTGACAGCAGAGACCCTGTAGAATAAAAAGATACTAGTTGCAATTTTTTATGTCGCACTGTATTTGCGCAAATGTTTATCAAACTAGTATTTTTTTATTTTTTTTTTGAATAACAATTTTTTATTAATTTTCACATATTTTCAAAAACAGGTTACATAATGAAGAATCAAGACATTTCCATTAATGCTTAGATCATCATAAGCATCTAAGGCACTATTCAATGACAATTATAATCATGTATCTTTTGCATCAAATGAACTGAAAGGAAAGTCCATACATTTGCCCATAAAACACAAGCTTATCATATCCATAGAAGATTTCTGTCTTTTCTTCTTAAATATACTTAAGTGCCAAATTGCTAACCCGGGACACATTGTATATACCATGTATCACATATATATCAAACATTACAATCAAAACAAACAGAATAAAATAAAACAAAACTTTTGCCATGTCAGTCTCAATCCAGTTCTCGATTAATATGCTTTTTCAGCATCTAGGGTGAGGAGTAGGGTCGCTTCCCCTTGTCGCTCAGTAATATCCAATAGGTCAATTATTCGGCGGGTGTTGTCTCCCGCCTGTCTATTAAGTACAAACCCTACTTGGTCAGTATGTATTAGGCCGGGGAGCAATCGGGCCAGTCTGTTAGCTAGAATCTTAGTGTTTAAGTAAACGAACATAATAAGTTCCTAATAGTGTGCAATAGGGTAATCGAATTCTCCGCACTCAACTAGGAGAACATTGCCAGTATCCTCCAAAGTCTTTGGAGAAAATGTTTCATTAACAAACTTCTCCCTCATCTTAAGGCTGAATATGGGCTGCTAGACTCTGTTATTCAGCGGGTAGAGACGGAGCTCAGAAGGAACACGTCTGCTCACATCCCTCGGTAGCCAC